TCCAGAGCAAAGAAGAATGAAGAAAACCAAAAATTCATGGAAACAATTAGTCCTAGCGACTGGTACACCATCCAATCTGCAGCCTATATGACTATGAGACCAGAACTAGATGGTGCCCGGCTACCACTGTCATTCACTTGGAATGGGATCTATGTAAGAGATCCTTGGTAAAGAAGGAGAAAAATGTGGAACAAAACTCAAAATCATTTGGAGAAAAAAAAAGGGGGGGGGAGGGGAAAGGTTTGCTGGTCCGACAGAGCCTGGTGGAATCACTGAGACTATGGCCCCTAGATGCCCTTCAGGTCTGGAACTGAACCCACACTTGTGGCTTCTAACTAAGCAAAAGACAGGCATATGAATTGAACATTTACCTCAGGTAGATACACTCCTTAGAGAGAACAATCATGGGAGAAAGAAGGGCTGCTTATACACAGGGAGACAGCTCAGGGGGCAGGAGTGCATGGAGGGTGGACACAGGGAAGAGGTAACTATCGGGAGGAAGTGGGAGCGGAGCTGTTGCATTGTGGTAAATTGTGGTCAATGTCATGAGACAAGGTGTATGTGAACTGCTGTATGGAAAGTGAATTTGCTCTATAAATTTTCCCTTAAATCACACACACACAAAAAAAAATCTGTTTAAGGAGCTACCGAATCCCTGAATAGCCTTGCAACTGCCCTACACCAATCACATTGTGGACCAGAGGCTTCTATTCTTGGAGAGAGAGAAAGATGGTATCTGGGCAGGGAAACCTAGGTGCAGTTCTTGGGGGGTGGGGTGGGGGAACACCACTGCCACCAAGTTGACTCCGACTCATAGTGACCATATAGGTGTAATAGGTATAGTTCTTGGAGGTATCTTAAAAACAAAGGACTATATATTCATCACAGCACAATTCCCTGTAGTAAAAAGATGGAAACAACCTAAATGCCCATCAACAGATAAACAAATAATCAAACTACAGTACATTCACACAATGGAATACTATGCAACATTAAAGAATAATGAAGAATATGCAAATCATCTTACAACGTGGATGAATTTAGAGGACACTATGCTGAGTGAAACAAGGACAAATATTGTATAAGCCTATTATTATAAAAAGTCAAGGAAAGGTTTACAGGGAAGAAAACTCACTTTGTTGGTTACTGGGGAGGGGAGGGGAAGGAAAATTTTGGACTAGTTGGGGGTCACATGTTGATTTGGGTGAGGAGAAGGATAGTATGGAAAGAGTCTGACCAGCATGATGATACTGGGGAAAGGAAGGGAACTGAAATGTGCAAGTAAGATACAGGCAACAGAGAGAAATACTAGTATATGCATAATACTGCATTACCACTGACACCAAACACCTAGCTGCTACAGAAAAATATATAGACAGGTAAGAAGATCAGGTAGGGGTCAGCAAACAGGAGTATACTCTAGACCAAGGATAGATTTGGCTGAAGATAATCTTACACATGCACATGTGCTACAAAATTAGCCACACACATTACAGAAGCAACAGAATAAGGAGAAACCTCTCAGAGACAACCAAACACCTTGAGAGAATCACCAGGCCTGCTGACTTGGGATCATGTCTCAGGGGACATCATGCTCATTTGGCAAAACAAAGTACATAAAAATCTCGTTCCATGACCTACTAGTGAGTAGCAACTGGGGTCTTAAAAGCTTTCCAGTGGCCATCTAAGATGCAACTATTGGTCTCCTCTCATCTGAATCAAAGAAGAGTGAAGAAAATCAAAGGCATCTGGCAAGAATTAGTCCAAGGATAAGATGTACCATGAGGACCTCAGCCTTCATGACACCACGATCAGAAGAACCAGATGGTGCCCAGCTACCAATGCCAATCACTTGGAAAGGGATCAAAACTGGAGATCCTGGATAGAGTGGGAGCAAAAATGTAGAACAAAATTCAAAAACACAAAAATGACCAGAATCACTGGTCAGATAGAGTCTGGTGGAAGCCCTAAGACTACGGCCTCAGGTTACCCTTCGGGCCTAGAAATGGACTCACTCCCATGGATTGCCTGTCAGACTAACAGTAGAAAAACTTACATGCAGAACACCTACCACAGGGCGATGCACCTACCTACTCTAGAGAGATGCACCCCTTAGATCAATCAGCTATGAAACACCA